ACATCTCTTCTCCAACATAGTGTTCCACAACTCTCGAACTTTCGCCTGATCTTCATCCAGAATATATTCAATCCACTCATTGTCAACTGGCACATCTCGAGGATATGAAGAGATATTATACCATGCGTCATTAGCGAAGTTGATCTTACCGTCCAAGTTGCCGATGAAGATACCGACGGGAGCAAGCTCTGCCATCCTCGTGAACTTGTTTTCGGCTTCGGCGGCCTGTTGAGTTCTAGCCAAAAGTTGATTATTCAGCTCGATGCGGTCTTGCGCGGCAAGCTGAGCTGCTTGTTCACCTTTCCTAATTTCATCCTCAAACAGGACCACTGATGCGATGGACGTGGCAAGCTGACGGCCCAGCAGCTGAACAAACAAATCGTAGTCTTCGTCGTACGGCCTTCTTGGATTCGTAGCCATCACCAGAAACCCCAAAGTTGATTCTCCGGTGGTGGGATGGATCGGTGAGATGACCACAATTTTCGAAGGATCGCCAAACCCTCGCCATTCAATATTTTCCAGAAGAGCCGGATCAAGGCTACCGTCATCGACCCTTAGCACAATCGGCCTATCGGTCGTAAGGGCCTGTCTGAAGGAAGCGGCAAACCCCTTGGTGCCCGTCTTCATTTCAATGACGGCAGGCGCCGCTTGGTGGCCAGGAGGAATGCCCAAACTGCCTTCCAGATAGCATACCTTGGTCAAGGCGGCACCACTGGAGCCTGAAGAAGCAACATCGCTCTCCGCCAAGTCCTCGTTCAGAGAGTAGACCAAAACCATGGGGGCGTCGTATTCGTTATATTCCAGGCCTTGCAGCAGCAGACCCCAGAATTGGGAAACTTGTCGAGCCGCAGCTGTCCGCTCGCCAATCTCGCGTAGTGTCAGCATGCGCCTCTCTGCAATTTTGCGGCGCGTCTTCTCAAATGCTGGGTTGTACAGCCCAATTACCCCACCGTCGGCGCCGATAAGAGGAATGATGGACCACGAGAAGTAGGTCTCTTCCAGGAAGCCGTTGCGCATGATGAAGAGGCAGTCATCGTCTTTCATTGTCGCTTGAGCGTTTTTGAAGGCGTTATCAAAGACATCCTCCAATGCGTCCCAGATCTCAGACCAAGCATCACGATAGCGTGCGCCCATTAACGCCGGATGCTTCTGGCCTGCCAGAAGTACATATGCCTCGTTATATATGGCTATGTGATCTGGTCCCCAGTACATGGCCGATGGGTGTGGACTGGCCATGATCAAGTTACACATCCCCCGGAGTTCGACAGACCAGTTCTGGATAGGGCCCAGACTAGTGGCTGCCCAGTCAATTCCCCTCGCGAATTGTATGTGCATGGGGAGAGACGGTGTCACGGGCAAGCGTGTCCAATCAAAATAGCCTTTTTGGGTGGTGGTGACCAAATCGTTGTCTAGATTGATAAGAGGGCTGCTGGAAAATACTCTCTGGTCACGGCCTTCCGGCGCAGATCCAGATACAACCTCCGAGTTTGCCAGATCTCCATTTGGTATGGGTGATGGATGGTCGAAATCATTCTGGGAGGCATCCGTCACGGCCTCCGTTACCGGGCGGCTGAGTGTGCGTGGCACCTCGCTGCTGGTGCGTGGGGGAATGTCGAAATATCCTTGCGTCGCTGCATCAGCACGAGCGCCTCCGCTGGAGGACGTAGATACGGAACCAAGTCCATGATATTGTTGCATACCGGGCCGACCACCGCCATCAGCCATCAAAGGAGGCGAAGAGGGATGCTGGCGACCACGAATAACCTTCAGTTTCTTTCTTAACAGGGAACCTTGCCATACCCATCCAGTAAAAGGAAATGTGAGGACGATGTTAGGTTCTGTTGGAGAACTCAGTGCCCAGGCCTTGAAATCTGAAAACGGAGTTTCCACATCGAGCAACAGAGTAGGATCCTCAGACCGGCCTTGGACATGTTCAAAGAGTGTGGTGCGGTTCTTCAGCGCTGTATTTGCAAAGACCAAATTGAGACCAGGAGTGTTGAGATTGACATTATCAGTGATGTCAACTATAAATGTTGGTCGCTCGTCTAATTGCAGATATTCAATGAGAGGGATAGAATGTAACAATTGCGCCTCGTCCGATCTCCCTGTGTTTGAAATCGCACTGCGCCCAGGTCGACTTCTGGCACTGCCGACCTCGGGGGAGAGGCTCACTGATATTGTACTTGCACCCGGCCCTCTCGACGATGCTGGCATTCTAGGAGAAGGCTTATCTTTTCCTTGGCTGACGGCCGTCGCGGCGGCCATCAGAAGCGAGATGTTTTCTGCTGGAGAGGGCTGCATGTCTCGACGAGTAGGGTTGGTGTCTTCCTCCTCCTCCTGCCTTCCCCTTCGACTGCGCCCCTCGTCGCTCAAGTGACCATGTTTCGAGGGCGCTGACGCATGGGAGGGGGATCGCTTCGCGTACTTGAGTACCGGTTGATCAGAAGAAGTGGACCGAATCGCTGAATGGTGAGAACGTTTCAACGATGATGAACTGAGGTTTTCGCCGGCGGTGAGGGGGTCGCAGGTAGGGGGACATGGTGGAATGTCGTGGGTATTCGGTGAGTAGTTCATTCGGAACGCGCATTCTCGGTCCAATCGTGGATTCCAAGTAGAGGTGTGACCGGGTGGGGAGGAGAGCGAGCGAGAGACTGAGCCAAGGGAGGACTCGTAGGTCGAGAAATGGGATTTAGGGCAAGCAGGGGATTGAAGTGACACAGAAATCTTTCTTTAACCAGTCCGCTTGCATGCTGTCCAGGGTCCAATGGGTGTAAGGAGGTTGAAACTAAACGTAAGGTTTGAGCGAGAGAGCACGCAGCAGGTCTGGCGACGTGGAACGGAGGTGGTGGTGATCTGATTGTCACTGAGAACGTCGAGGGTTTGGCTGGGGTGGGAGGCTAGTTCGATAGCACAATTTGGTGGTACTTGTAAGCATGTAGGAGAGGATCCGGGGAAATGACCCGAGTGCCGTCCGGTACCTAGGAAGCCAGGTAGCTTTCAGGGATCGTCTTCATCTAGCATGAGAATCTAGATGAATTGGTCGCAATAACGATGGTGGACCGGGAAGGCCGCAGGTGTGACAGACGGTCTGAATGTGCTGGTGATAGCGACAAACGTTAAAGAAGGGGTTTGCCAATTAGGTTGAACGGGCCGGAAACAGAATTGCGATGCAGAGTCAACCATTCTCTTAGGCTTGAATACATGGAAGATGAAAATGAGAGACTTGAACTTGGTATTGCTATGACCATGCTTGTGAAATTGTGCATTTTCGTGCCCGGTACTTTGTAAACCATCACAATAGCGCAGCTGCGCAGTCTGGCCAGGTCGATGGCTGCGCCCAAGCACAACGTCACGATCAGTCCACCTCTCAACCCTTCCCCTTGGTATTCTTCACCACTTTCTGGTTCGATTGGTGATGGCATTCTTACACTTTCCCATCATGCATGTAACCCCCCCCTGAGATGGCATGCCAATCTGGACCTTTACTGACATCGACACCTAACCAAAGTATGTATATGGAGATGCACCCGCTTCCACGCCCTAGCTTTGCTTACAGCACCATTCCCTCCAGTTTCCTTTCCCGCGGTCCCCACGTACGCGTCACGCGTGGGCGTTACATGATCCAGTTCGCCTTGAATGCTTGATCAAGGCAGGAAAAGGACTGGAGCCAACTAGGATGAGCGAGGAGATCGAGCCGGGACAGATCATCTTGTTTCTTGCAGTCGTTGAGCTTGCTTGATGAGTTTGATCTAGGGTTTGGGATGACGAACAGAGCCCACAACAAGACCGGCTAGCCAGGGCGCCTTACGAAACTCGTAGGTATTGTTGCGAGAGGATCTTCTTCGGGTTGTACTGAAGAGGGCTCCCCGTAGTCATCGCTGGGGGCCTGCTTGGAATTTAGCACGAGCATATGCATATGTTAACAAATTCCCAGCCATGTGAAAGAAAATGCGATGCATGTCAAGCACTTCAAAAAGAAGGCCAGTTCGGTAGGGCTGACGAGAAATCGGTGCTGCAAATCACTAACGCGGCTGTATAATATCAATAGGTACTAGGCATCTGTGGACCTTTGTTCTATCCAGGCTGCCAGTGGGCGCCAGGCACCCTCCAACACCGCTGATGTGAACACTGAACACTGCTTCTACACTTCTGGTGATAGCACTCCGAAATACCATTATGACCACGTTGGAGCGAATCGTTGGGGGAGGTCCGTGCACGTTCGGTGTCAGACGGTGTTTGGCGCCAAGCTTTCTAGCCTGGTGATATCTCTCCAGAAGCGGATTAGCGGCCGCATTTTAAGATAATCCGATCCGGCTCGCCGGCTCCCACGCCGCCAGGCTGCGATCATTCACACTCACAATCATCATTGTACAACCAATCCAATAAACCACGAAACGCCCCTGTATCAGACAATCAAGCAAACGGTATACCGCTGCCCAAGGTCTTACCTCAAGAAAGTACCTGCAAGACTCATTTTACAATCTTCCTCCACAACCACCCAACCCCGCACCTCTTATCGCTTCAAAAATCCAAGAACTTGGCATACCTCATCCACGAGTTGAACACGCATTGCGATATCTCCATTCCTGCAGCGCGAACATCCCGCAGCGAACGACGAAGCAAGGAAAAGGTGGGTGCGAGCACTGAAGCAGTAAATCGACCAACCGAAAGCCGAGGAGCCGACCCCGCCAGTTACACAGCCACTCCCCTTACCGTGTCTTAACTGGGTTTGCCTCCTAGGGCACTTTACTTGCCTCCTCCGCCGAGAACCAGGCCCCGTCACCACCTGGCCACTACTCATCCACGACATTCCTCCCACGCTTATCCCCCCCAACTATCCACGCCCGCTTACTGCTGCCTTTTAGGCTCAGGTTGTCCTCCCCGCCTCCCTGCGGCTTTCCCTCTCATACCTTCCAACATCCATCCCCCTTTCGGTCTGCTTTGACAGCAAGTCTGTTACACTTCGTTCACTATTTCTTTCCACGCCCACTCATACGCCGATGGTCGACTCCGCCGACGAGCCTCCGCTGTCAAGTCGTCTAATCTCATGGGCTAAGAGCAAGACTCCTTCAGCGCTATCCTCCCCTACTCCCCAGCGAGATTTCCCCAATCCCCCGGACCAATCTACTTTCGCACGACACCGTCCAGACACCCGCCGACAAGATGCTGGGAGTAGCCCCTCTGCAGCCGGTCCTGCAACAACCACAGACCACTCCGCTGATGGGCGAACGGATAGAGAGCAACACAATGCATCGATTGTGGACGAGAAAAGAGATGGAACGCAATCTGCCACCCTAGGAAATCCGCCTCCCAAGGACAAAGCGCCCTTGGTCAACCGTTTCTTCCGCGATGTCAAGCGCATCCTCTTCTCCAGCTGGGTCAATTGGCTCCTTGTCTTTGTCCCGGTTGGCATTATACTGGGGATCATTGTCGACTGGATGCACAGCGATGTTGTAAGCCCTAGCGCTGTATTCGCCATCAACGCAGTCGCCATTATTCCTCTAGCTTCCCTGCTGTCATACGCAACCGAGAGTGTTGCCATCAAGTTGGGCGATACCATTGGTGCTCTTCTGAATGTCACCTTTGGGAATGCCGTCGAGTTGATCATTTTCATCATTGCTCTTGTAGCAAAAGAAGTGCGCGTGGTCCAGGCCGCCGCTCTCGGTTCGATCTTGTCCAACCTGCTTTTGATCTTGGGCATGTGTTTCGTCGCTGGTGGTCTTCGATTTCGAGAACAACTCTACAATTCTACCGTGTCGCAGATGAGCGCGTGCTTGTTGTGCCTGAGCGTCATCAGCCTCCTCTTGCCGGTAAGTTTAAGGAGGAACAAAGACACAAGCTTTGGCACATATAACTAACCTGTTGGTAGACCGCTTTTCATGCCTCGTTTTCGAGCACTGCGAGAGCGGACCACGTGGTACTGAAGGTCTCGCGAGGCACCAGCGTGGTGCTCTTGTTGGTCTACTTACTATACCTACTGTTCTCGTTGAAATCCCATTCTTTCATGTACCAGAGCACCCCTCAACATCTCATTGACGAGGAGTCGCATCCGGGAGTCCTTGCCGATATTCTCAACTCGTCCAGCTCTTCCAGTGACTCATCAAGCTCCAGTGATGGCGACTCGGACTCTAGTTCTAATTCCAACACGACTACTAAACGCATCAAACGAGCTCTTCGTCGCAAGCGGCGCAAGTCCACTTCGAGCACCAAGGAAAATGTGTCTGTTGTGACATTCACCAGAAGTTCTTCCATGCTGACTGGACCTGGCGGCTCGATGATCCAGGCTACCTCTCTCACTTCGGCCGAGCTAGAACCTGTTTTTAGCGGTGATGAGGCCGATGTGGACGGAGAAGGAAGGACTGCTCGTCATCACTCTCGTTCACATACCGTCCACGCTCGCGACTTTGAAGGCGCCACGCAGACCGATCAGACATCCGAAAAATCCCGGAGACGCCACCGCAGATCGAAGAAGTCCAAGCATGTCAAGAAGGACAAGGACAAGGGAAAGTCTAAAGAATCAGAAAAGGAAAAGGAACCTATCATAGAGACGGCGACCCCAGAGATCTGTCTGTCGACCACGGACTCGGCACAACCACAGGTTGGATTTGCATCGGATATTCAGGAGATTCCCAATGACGGCAATGGAAAGCGATCGTTCAATATTCGCAACATCTCCGAAGCTGTCAAACCCGCCTTCACATCTGCCAATTTCCCCCATCACCAGGCTACCGGAAGACCCCTTGCAATTCCGATTCGTCCCACATCACAGCCACGATCTGCCAACCGGCCTGTCCGTCGCACTGCTTCGATGCCGGATATTCTTCGTCCTACAATTTCCAGCAATCGACTGGTGCCCACGGTATCTGCACCCGCCCAACACGATGCCACATCGTCGGAAGTTACAATTGAAGTCCAAACGGGTGATGTCGTGGAACCTCAGACGCATTTATCTCGTACCTCTGCCATTATCTTACTGCTCGGGACGACAGGACTAGTCGCATTATGTGCCGAGTTCTTGGTCGGCAGCATCGACTATTTGATCGCCAACAGCGGCGTCAGTCAGGCATTTATCGGGCTGATCATTCTCCCCATCGTCGGCAATGCCGCGGAGCACGTGACTGCTGTGACAGTCGCGGCCAAGAACAAAATGGACCTGGCAATCAATATTGCTCTGGGTAGCAGCATTCAGATTGCACTCTTTGTCACTCCCCTCATGGTCATCCTGGGATGGATTATCAAGACAGACATGAGTCTCTACTTCAGCCTTTTCGAAACAGTCAGTTTGTTTGCCAGTGCCTTTATCGTCAGCTTTCTGATGATCGATGGCCGGAGCAATTATCTGGAGGGGGCATTGCTGATTGCAGCATACGTTATCATTGCGGTTGCTGCTTTCTTCTATCCCACTTGTGATCTGAGTTCCGCGAGTGGTCCACTCGATGGCACCAATCCACAGTGCTAAGATGACGAACTCAGCGGACTAGTCACCTTTTGGAGGCCAGTGGAGGGAAACCAGACGAGGTATGCGAATTTGCTTTACACTACATTCACTTGGACAGTTCGGGATGAAGGAAAGGACAAACAGACGGGGAGGACAAGTTGGTCCACATTGAAGGGGGAGTTTTGGCTGCTGTTCGACACACTCTTTATTGGGAAACATGGACATGATCTACTTGCTTGCCTGCGTGCTCGCTACCGCTTCTGCGGGTTCTTGCACATGCCTGCAATTGACAGGAGAGATCAACACGACGTAGCCATATTTGAGCCCCTCATACAGAATATGACTTTGTATGGTTGAGGTCGTACAGACCGTACCTACGTCTTCACCTTGAGCTATTACTCTTCTATATTTGCTTCCTGGCCCCTTCTCTGAGGGTCTGTGATTGTCGTATGATTTTCAGTTGCTCTCGTGCCCTCTGACCTGAACATGCGCCCAACACCATTGAGGGGTGGAAGGGGGAGCGAGCCTCGTTCTACCGAGTACAGCTTTGTCAAAGAACCAAATGTGATACTGTCTTCCGTCCACTCTGTCCACTTTGTCACTCGCATTCTGTCCTCTAAGTACAACATGCCAAAAAAGTCAACTACTTCGGATATGTTTACTACTTTGGCTGACCCTAGTATTGGCACCACAGACACCGGTGTAGCCAGGACGTGGGATGGAGTTCCACAGACCGCAACTCTTCACCTTTCCAGCATGGTTGGTCTCACCCTTATGCTCTTTTGGCATTTTGTGGTCTCGGCGGTTGAGGAAACACGGAGCAGGTCGGGGAGGCCGAGAAATGCTTATCATGACATCGTCTTGGTTCTTATCTTCATCTTGCTCTGTGACTGGCAGCTACTGATCCCCTGTAAGTCTTCTAACCACTTGGCTTCAAGGGCGCTACTAACGTCCTGCAGCTACCCTGGACTGGTGTCTCCTCAGCAGTTCTATCGACTCGTGTCGCGCGAAACTCCGAGACTCAGGTCTCCCTCCTCGTTCGTGGAAGATGGCACCATACGACGTCAGTTTACTTGATCAAAGATGGCGTGGGCAGGAGGGCGAAAGAGCTGGCTTCTGACCCTGGTTGAGCACAGTCTGCCCCGCCACGCGATCGATTGCATAAAGGGATCAAATACCTCCATATCGCCATGCCCCAGTCTCGCACCCCGGTAGCCTTTTCTCTGTCTCTGAAAAGGCAGAGTTTCAAGTTGCAGGAAGCCTCTAATTTTTGTCACCAGCCGAATCGCCATGGCTTCTATGCACTCACAAACCAAGAGTCAGAGCCACAATGCAATGGATCTCGCCCCTTCTCCCAGTCGTCGCGGATCCCTGGTCGTGGATACCGCGCTCGCAAGCGAGGAAGATGCCGCAGTATTAGCAAAGATGGGGTTTGTCACATCTTCTTGATCGCTTTCGTCGCAATCGGGCTCAGTTATAGCTAAGAGAATAACTCTTATTGAAATAGATACAAACAAGAACTCCGCCGCAACTTCAGCATGCTCGAAGTCTTTGGGATTGCATTTGCTATCATGGGGTTGCTTCCTTCCATTGCGAGTACGCTCTCCTATTCAATTCCTGCCGGTCCCGTGGGCTTGGTTTGGGGTTGGTTCCTCGCTTCGGGCTGTATCTTTGTTGTCGGCCTAGCCATGAGTGATCTCGCAAGCTCAATGCCGACAAGTGGCGGGTAAGTCATCCCATATATGCTGCCTAATTGGTTTTAGGGGCGCCTCCTGTTCACAACTGACATGTCGATAGACTTTATTACTGGACTCATTATTATGCATCGCCAAAATGGAGAAACCCATTGAGCTTCCTTGTTGGTTACAGCAACACGCTTGGGCTTGTAGGCGGCCTTTGCTCGATTGACTGTCAGTGTGCACAGACCTCATTGCCCCCTCGTGACTAACTCGGGAACAGATGGGTTCTCGTTGATGTTTCTCTCCGTTATCGTCATTGCTCGCGACGGTAACTGGTCACCGAGTAATGGCACTATCTACGGAGTCTTCATCGCCACTGTCGCCTGTCACGCTGCTATCGCTTCTACCTTGGCTCGTATAATGGGTAGACTGCAGACCGTGTTTGTTGTCATGAATTTCGTGTTGATATTCGCCACCATCATTGCCTTGCCGATTGGTGCAAACAAACGCAACAGCGCCTCCTATATTTTTACACATGTCGAGAACTTGACCGAGTGGCCCACAGGCTGGGCCTTTATGCTCTCCTGGCTCAGTCCTATCTGGACCATTGGTGGGTTCGACTCGGCGGTTCACATTAGCGAAGAGGCCACGAATGCTACCAAGGCCGCACCGCTAGGGATCCTATTTTCCATCGGGTCATGCTGGCTGTTTGGCTGGATCTGTTGCATAGTGATCGCGGCGTGCATGTCTCAAGATCTGGACAGTATCTTGGGCTCGCCGTTTGGACAGCCGATGGCTCAGATCTACTATGACGCCCTCGGCAAAAATGGGGCTTTGGGTTTTATGGCTCTGTTAATGATTGTCCAATTCTTGGTGAGCATCTCCACAGATCTCACGACTGACGGAATCTGTCTAAGCTAACACACTCAGATGGGTGTCTCCATCCTGGTCGCCGCTTCCCGACAAGCGTGGGCATTCTCTCGTGACGGAGCATTGCCTTTCTCCAGCTTCTTTAGACACATTTCCAAGAAATTCGGCTATATCCCTGTCCGCACGACACTTGGTTGTGCCACACTTGCAGCTGTCCTCGGTCTTCTCTGCTTGATTGCCCCAGCGGCTGCCGCAGCTTTGTTCTCCCTCGCCGTCGCGGGCAACAATCTCGCATGGGGAACCCCGATCCTCTGCCGTGTGGTTTGGGGCCAAAAGAAGTTTAACCCAGGTCCGATATACACTGGCAGGGCCTCGACCCCCTTGGCTTGCGCGGCCGTCACTTTCTTGGTTTTTGGTATTCTTCTGGGGATGTTCCCTGTGGGCGGCCCCAATCCGAACGCTGACAGCATGAACTACACCTGCGTGATCAACTCTGCAGTCTGGGGAGGTGCTCTTCTCTATTACTATATTGATGCTCGCAAGTGGTTCCGCGGACCACAAATCACCCTCGACCTGAGCCAGCTCACCGAGGAACAGGAAGCGGCCTTGAGGGAAGAGGGCCTCAAAGTGGAGCGGGCAAGCGGGCAAGCTGTGGTCAGTGGAGAGGACGCAGTCGATTCTGCCGACATGAAGGGCATTTGAGAAAGCAGATTCGACAGACGACACTTGGGCGCAGAAAGTCGATGGTCATGTCGCTGCCAGAGTTAGCCAGTACCTTCATAAAGTCACTTAGTCCAATCCCGAGTACTGAGGCCAAGCCATGAATTAGGTGGATGTAGAAGCCCAGTAACATCAACGCAGGTCTCGATAGAAATATGAAGGAACCCTGCACCCGAGGCAGCGTTTTCTCTTGGGCTGTTTGTTGGTGCGTGAACAAAGTGCGGGTAAGGGTGAGGAATGGTCACGTGTCAGATTCTGCCGCACCCCCTTTACCGCCTAGCCTTGCCCTCAAACTTCTCTGTTTCTCCAAGGCCGTGGACAGAATCTTGTGAGGTGAGGTTTGCAAAGGCGACCACCGGACAGCGCCGCAGCCGACGCTGTCTCTGCCAGAGACGCCGACCCCAGCTACCCCGGCAGCCCCGTTGTCGCAACCGGAGCGGAGACCGTCCACGACATCGTCGGAGGAGGTATTGGCCCTCAAAGAGGCCCTTGCGGCGGCCCAGACACCGCCAGAGCCAGAGCAAGCCGACGAGGCTTTACAAGGGGGTCCGCCAATGGCACAGAACCCCCCTTCTCCTCTATCGCCACCACAGACGCCTGGGCCCCAGCCACAGGCCTCTTCACCTTGTACCTCTCGTCCTCTCCCTCAACAGCCGCAGCAACAACAACAACAACAGCAGCAGCAGCAGCAGCAGCAGCAGCTGTAAGTGGAATAACTTGGTTGGTTAGGGAAGGAAATCTATCTAGCGCACCTGCGGATTTATTGTGCGCCGCGGTGGAAATGATTCGGCCAACCTTCCCAATCAGGGTTAGGGCAACAGAAGCAGGAGACTTCTCCTGCCCAGCCTGCCTCCCTGCTCGCAAGCACAACAGGCTGCAAACCCTCCCGTGCCCGCTCCGGCTCAGGCAGCGCCACCAAGCAGGGTGGTCGAACGAACCGCCAAGAATGGCAGAAAAGGGTGCAAAGGCAAGGCCAGGGGTCGGAGAGGCTGCGGCGGCCGTTAAGCTGCGAGAGAAGCACGCACCACCGCCACCGCCGCCAAGCAGAGTCACGACCAGAATCATGGCGAGAATGGAGGCCGTGAATAGATCATCTAGACGAGAAGTCGAACGAGGGCGGCTGCGGCTGCGAATAAGTAAACGGGCGAAAGAGAGATGACAGATGACAGACACGAGAGAGGTGCACAGCAACAGGTGAAGGATACGGGGTCCCAGGGAGCGGGAGTGGGACTGATAATGGAGAGAGTGGACTTGAAACTGACATGAGTGATTTAGATTGGCTGGAATGGATCGATGGATCGATGTCGTCCAGGCTGAACCTGGACGAAGGAGCGGCAGAAGAACAGGGCTGGGAACCTCTTTGATATCAAACAGCGAGAGATACGAAAACTATACAGAGGAGACAAGACACCAGTGGCTTTCTCGTTTCAATCCCTTCTTTTTCTTCTTGTGAAGCTCTCCGCAATCTCCTGGAACTGGATATCGTACACAACGCTGGATATAGTTGACAAGAAAGTCAGTTGTACATTTTCCACCTCTTTATATCCACCATTCACCGCGCTCCTCCATGTATTTTCTTTGAACCGGGTAGACAGAGCCTTCATACCTCCTTCGTGGCCACTCAAGCCCACGCATCGTTGCTACGAACACGCGGCTTCTTCATACCAGGGCCAGCCACGGGGACGAATACGTCGGTTTTGTCCTCCACCCGCACCTCGTACTCGCGCTTGACGCGGATTTCGTGTTCATTGA